GGGGTGGGTGGAAGGATAGGTGGGGGGTGGGTGGAAGGATAGGTGGGAGGTGGGTGGAAGGATAGGTGGGGGGGTGGATACATGGGGGTGTGGTTAAATGGAGGACTGGAGGACTGGGTGGAGGGATAGGTGGGTGGGTGGGCGGATAGATGGGTGGGGTGGGTAGGTGGGTGGGTGGATAGGTAGGGGGTGGGACGGTGCAGGATGGGTGGGTGGGTGGAGGGATAGGTGGGTGGTAGGTGGGTGGGCAGGCAGAGATAGGTGGGTAGGTGGATGGGTGAAGAAAGTGCTTCCCAGGTGGAGTGGAAGGGGTCCTTTTCCCTCCATATCTTTTTCCAGTTGGTGAAACTGAGGCTGGAAGAGGCAGGATGCTCACACGGTGGAAACTGACTTCTGCCCCAGAACAACGTAAAAGCAAACTGGCTCCAGCCCTGAAGTCTCCGGCCCAGTTCACAGACAGGCACCGAGGCTCAGAGAGGCCCCAGAGCCAGGCGGTGGTGGAGGCCGCACGTGTGGGTCCGGGCCTCAGGCCCACCCAGGCACGTCAGGCATTGTGCCCACCAGCTCTGCAGCCACCCTGGGGTTGCAGTGGAGGCCGGGCCTTCTCCCCTCCCCCAGCCCGGTCAGGCTAGTTCCTCGAAGGAGGAGGGGTGGGAAGAGCCCACCAGTACCCTCCTTCTGCCCCCAGCAGCTGAGAATTCACATACACTGATGCCAAGGTGGGGCCTCCACTGCTGTGCCAGAGATGAGGGACCCCCCCAGGCTCCAGGGGACAGGGGAGCCAGAGACAGCGAAAACCAGGGAGTTAAACAGGCAAAGCCACACCCAGACCCAGGCCAGGTCAGGGAGCCCAGGACCGGCAACCCCCGCCCACTCCCCTCGCTGCTTTTCCACAGGGCCTTACGCCGGGTCTGGGAACCCCTGGAAATTCCTGGTCACTTGCTGGGGCTTCAGCTCTCCCCTCACTGCCTGCCAACCCCTAGCCAGGCCTGCAGGCCACCAAGCCTGTCGAAGCTGCCTGCCCCTGGGGGCCAGCCCTCCAGCCAGACTCCAGGAGACCTCCTCTATCTCCACCATTCATTCATT